ATTAAACATTTTTCTCTCAATATATACTCACCCTTTTCTCTTCATATTTCTCCACACCAAAAAGTATCAGTTACTCCCAACAAAAACAGAAGAAAAAAAGAAAAAAACATAAATGGGTTTTGATGATATATGCAATACCGGTCTCGGTTTAGGACTGGGATTCTCTATAGGAGAATATAAGTCCAAGAAGCCAGCAGGTCAGAAGCTCGAATTCCTCGGAAAAATCGAGCCGTCGCTCACTCTAAGCTTATCCGGCGATCTGCCCAAAAATCCCTCCGTTTCCGATCAGAATAACGGCAAGATCGCCGCCTTTTCCGGCGAGGATCATCTGTACAGGCAGGACAGCGCGGCGTCATCGTTCTCGAACGTGAGCAGCGTGAAGAGAGAGAGGGAGCCGGCGAGCGAGGAGGTGGAGAGAGAAAGGGCGATCTCGTCTAGGGTTAGCGACGAGGACGATGATGGATCTAATGGCCGGAAAAAACTCAGGCTTAGTAAAGCTCAATCGGCTCTTTTGGAGGAAAGCTTCAAGATGCACAGTACTCTCAATCCTGTATGTGTTTCACTCGGGACTTTTCACAAACACGTAACGTGCGTGCAATACTTTTTTATTTATCATTTGGCTGATTTACTAATTCTTATTTTCATTTGGAACAGAAACAAAAGCAGGATTTGGCTAAGGAGTTGAAGCTTAGGCCACGGCAGGTGGAAGTTTGGTTTCAGAACAGAAGAGCCAGGTATTTAATATTTTAATTTATTCGTGACTCAAATGTTTAATAATAATAATAAATATTTTCATGGTAGAATTTTGGTGAGATAGAATGTTTTAGCTTTTTAATTTATCCTTTTCACTCAAACTTGAAGAGAAAATGAAATTAAACTAATCCATTAATGAGAACAAGAAAGCCTGGACTTTAATATTGCCTTTTCCCATAAAGATCTTTGCCATCTATTTTGAGGGGCCAGGTGTTTTTAACTTTTAGCAACTAATTTAATTTATTTATGTATCAATTATGTGGACGCATATTCACTGAAAATTCTTTTTGAAATTATTAATTTTTATTGATTATTATTTTAATCCTACCTAAAAAAATATTTTGTTTTCTTTGGGTTAATTTATACAGAACAAAGCTGAAGCAAACAGAGGTGGACTGCGAGTTTCTGAAGAAGTGCTGTGAGACGCTGACGGATGAGAACCGGCGGCTGCAGAAGGAGCTTCAAGAGCTGAAGGCTATGAAATTGGCTAAGCCGCTCTATATGCAGCTTCCAGCTGCCACGCTCACTATGTGCCCTTCATGTGAAAGGATTGGCGGCGGAAGCAGCGGCTCGGAACACGTGGCTAAGACAGCCGCCTTTGTTATGGCTCCTAAGCCGCACCTCTACAATCCCTTCACAAATTCGTCGGCGGCTTGTTAGATAATCTTTTAGCTTCTTAGTAAATTAAAAAGAAAAAAAAACATATTATAAAAAAATTGAAAAAGAGGAGTAGATACGAAAAGACTGGAACCACCCTCAGTCACAACCCTGTTTTTTATTCGGTTAAGGGCTTGTTTGACGGTAGAAGAAGGAAAAGGGAAAAAGAACTATAAGTTTGAGATAGTCTATAGATATTAGGAAATTACTAATCGTGTTGTTTGCTTAATTTTTGTATTTATTTTGTAGTTGTACATGTAATAATTTTTTTATTTTAAAGATCATATTCCAACAGGGTGAAGGGATTATTGTTTAATTTACTTGGTCCAATTATTGTGAATTGTTGACTTGTGGAATCAACAAGAGATCGTAATAAACACGGAATGTAAACAATGCCAACAAGACAGAAAAATGAAGTTAAGGTTTGGTTTTATAAACTTTCAATTTTTTCTTATATAATATTTGTGTTAAAAATCGGAAAGATAAAAAACACAATATAGAAATCTATATATATATATATATATATATAATAAGAACTACCATTTATTAAAAATAGTAAGTCAATCTTGGTCAAAACTGATCAACATTAATTACATGTCATTTATAGTATCTTTTTAATATTTTTATTAATAAAAAACGGATAGCATTAAATGTTATCATTAAAATGAAGAGTTTGTTATTTTTTTATTTTCAATAAAGCGGGTTGCTATTTAAATTTGGTCTATTAAATATTTGTGATGGTTTGACACGATGTGCATATCAAAAGCTGATAATGCACGAGCTGCATCAATTAAATTTGGTTATTGGTTACAAGAAGCTATTTTTAAATTTGAATAATAATGTACGTCACGACTGCTATTTCAATTAAATATCGGCCAATTATATTTTCTAAATTTAAAATCAGATATTCGGCTAATACAATTGCTTTGCTTGGCAGCTTTTTTTAATAAAAAAAATTACGATTAATATAATAATAAAAAAATTATGTGTTTTTTTTAACTATAAAAATATACTTTTGTATTTTCAAAATAATTTTTTTTTTCTATAAAATCAACTAATACATATGTTTTTTTTTTCCCGAAACGATAGAGACTAATACATATGTTTTGATTCGCAGATTTTATTTAAAAAAAATTACGGCTAATTTAAGGGTAAAAAAATCATTTGTTTATTTTCTTTTGAAAACATTTTTCTAACCATCAAATCGGGCAGTTTCAATTAAAAGAATAAAGTTGTGGCTGATTCAATTGTTTTGTTTGACAATTATTCATAATGAAAAAACGGGTCTAATTTTGAAACGATCAAAATATTTATGGTCTTTGTTTAAATCAGAAATTCGAAATAAGAATAACCACCATATTTAAATTGCTTTAATTGTAAAACGTGATGTATACAAGATTTAGATAGATTTATCACATATCATCCTCTAAATTAATGATTTTTTTTTTAAATTTCAAAATACCAAATCAATTTTTTATGGTTTTTGTTTAAATCAGAGATTCAAAATATCTTAATCTCCATATTTGAATTGTTTTAATTGTAAAACGTGATGTATACAAGATTTGGATAGATTTATCACATATCTCCCCTAAATCAATAATTTTATTTTTTTCAAAATTTTAAAATACCAAATCCTAAAGCTGCGACTGATTTAATTATTAAACGATATTTTGCAATCATAGATTCAAGTTATCTTCAAATTCAAAATTTAAATTGCCGATATGTAAATAAATTTGGACATATTAAATATATATGATCCCTAAAATGAAGGATTTTATTCCACTAAAAGACATAAAATATGAACTTAAGATGCAAAATTTATTATGAACGTGTGATAATACAATTTTACATGCTACGAAAGTCATATTGTTTACACGTGCATCGCACGAGCTACACACTAGTGGATATGAATTATATTCAGTATTTCTTTCTTCTTGTGAATGTGTATTTTTCATTGCATTTCGGATGCCTTTTATAGGCAAACTTTCCTGGCATAACATTCAATAATTTACACAACATTTATATCTTATTACTATTCCCATTTCTTCAAATAGTGAAATGTCACTATTCATACATAGTGGTTCATTTCACTTGTTTATAACACTCCCCCTTGGAATTACCACTATGCAATGTGCGTTTATGTTGCCTCATAAAAACCTTATCCGGAAAAATCCTGTGGGAAAAACCGAGATAAGGAAAAAAGAGTACAGCCGCACATGCTCCCCCTCGAGTTATCATCTGTGCAAATCTCGAAGATGTCTCATTCCAATGTTATGAACGTGCTTTCGGAATGTTGTAGTTGGGAGCGCCTTCGTAAATAAATCTGCTCCATTATCACTTGATCGGATATATTGAATCTTGACCTGTTTGTTCCTTTCAAGCTCTTGAGTGTACGAGAAGAACTTTGGTCGGATATGTTTAGTTCTGTCACTCTTAATGTATTCTTCTTTGGTTTGAGCGACACATGCTGCATTGTCTTCAAATATCACCTTCGGATCTTTATTATTCGATAATCCACTGGCTTGTTGAATGTGTTGAGTCATGTTTCTCAGCCAGATGCTTTCCCCAGTTGCTTCATGAAATGCAATGATTTCAGCATGGTTTGAAGATGTAGCAACCAGTGTTTGTTTCTGAGAATGCCAAGAAAATGCAGTTCCACCAATTGTGAAGACGTAGCCAGTTTGAGATCTCCCCTTATTTGGGTCTGATAAATATCCTGCATCTGCAAAACCAATCATTTCATGTTTTTTATCATTTCAGTAAAATAATCCCAGATCAGTTGTTCCTTGGAGATAACGGAATAAATGCTTGATTTCGTTCCAGTGTCTCCTCGTAAGTGAGGAGTTATATCTTGCTAATAAGTTGGTAGCAAATGATATATCGGGTCTGGTGCAATTATCAAGATACATAAGAGCTTTTATTGCACTCATATATGGTACCTCAGGACCAAGTATTTCTTCATTTTCTTCACAAGGTCGAAATGGATCCTTTTCAACATCTAATGTTCGGTTAACCATCGAAGTACTAAGGGGATTAGCTTTGTCCATATTGAATCGTTTCAGTACTCTTTTAGTATAGTTAGATTGATGGACAAATATCCTGTTCTGTACTCTCTCTATCTGTAACCCGAGGCAATATTTGGTTTTTTCGAGATCTTTCATTTCAAATTCGTCTTTCAGAAAAGTGACTGCTTCTCGAATTTCATTTGTTGTCCCAATAATATTAAGATCATCAACATAGATAGCAATTATCACAACTCCATCATGTGATTTCTTTATAAAGACACACGGACATATTTGATCATTTAAGTATACCCTTTTAAGCAATTGTTCACTCAAACAATTATACCACAAACGCCCGAATTATTTCAAGCCATCTATTGACCTTTGCAGCTTTATTGCACATAACTCCTTAGGCTTGGATTTTAGTGCATCGGGCATTCTGATTCCTTACGGGATTTTCATGTATATGTCGGTGTCTAATGATCCATACTAGGCAGTCACAACATCCATGAGTCGCATCTCAAGATTTTCATGGATAGCTAAACTGATCAAGTATCTGAAAGTAATTGCATCCATGACAGAGGAATATGTTTCATCATAATCAATCCCAGACCTTTGGGAGAATCCCTGTGCTACAAGGCGAGCTTTATATCTCGTGATCTCATTTTTCTCATTTCTTTTTCTGATGAAAACCCATTTGTATCCAATAGGTTTTATGCCTTTTGGCGCAATGGAAATAGACCCAAAAACTTTTCTTTTATTGAGTGAATCTAACTCGGCTTGGATGGCGCCTTTCCATTTATCCCAATCATGTCTTTTCTGACATTCAGTTACAGATTTTGGTTCAGGATCCTCAGCGTCATTATCAATTTCTTTTGATACCATATATGCAAATGCATCATCAATATTTATGATCTCATCACGCTTCCAAAGTTTCCCATTATTTACGTAATTAATGAAAATTTCAATATTTTTATTTCTTCCTGAAATTTTCTCATCACCTTGATTCTTCAAATTTGGGTCATTAATTTTGGTTTTTCTTTCGAGGATTCTTATCTTTAGACCCAATTGGTCTTCCTCGTTTCAAGCGTGTCTTTGACTCATTTGGCATATTATCATTTTCCATTTCTTTTGTAATCTCAATTCGAGCAGGGGCATTTACAGCTGCCACACGTGGTTTGGTCACCCTTTTTAAATCAGTAAATGCATCTGGCAGTTGATTTGCAATATTGTGCAGATGTATGATCTTTTGAACTTCTTGCTCTCTTTGTTTGGTGGGAGGATCAAGATATGATAGTGATGATGTTCTCCATTCAATATTTCTCTCAATTGATTTTTCATTTCCACCTAAGGGAGGAAATAATTCTTCATTAAAATGACAATCATCAAACCGAGTTGTAAAACCATCACTTGTTTTTTGCTCAAGGTATTTGATTATTGATGGAGATTCATATCCAACATATATTCCCACCCTTCTTTGAGGCCCCATTTTTGTACGTTGGGGTGGAGCAATTGGTACATACACTGCACAACCAAAAACTCTTATATGTGCAATATTTGGTTCTCGACCATATGCCAACTGTAATGGCGAGTATGTATGGTATGTACTTGTTCTTATTCGAATTAGATCATCTGCATGCAGAATAGCACGTCCCCATACTGAAGTGGAGAGTTTTGTCTCCATTATTAATGGTCTAGCAATAAGCTGCAATCGTTTAATTAATGTTTCAGCTAGATCATTTTGAGTGTGAACATGTGCCACAGGATGTTCAACATCAATTCCCACTGCCATACAATAATCATTAAATGTTTGAGATGGAAACTCACCAGCATTGTCAAGTCTGACCTTTTGATAATATAATCTGGGAATTGAGCCCTTAATTTAATAAGTTGGGCGAGTAATTTGGCAAATGCCACATTTCGAGTGGATAATAAACTCACGTGAGACCATCTACTAGAAGCGTCAATCAACACCATAAAATATCTGAACGGACCACAATGTGGATGAATAGGTCCACATATATCACCATGAATCCTTTCTAAAAATAATGGTGATTCATGTCCGTCTTTAGTATGTGATGGTCTCACTATCAATTTCCCTTGAGAACATGAGGCACATGTCAATTCATGAGTTTGCAATACCCTCTGATTTTTTTATGGATGACCATTAGAATTTTCAATAATTCTTCTCATCATTATCGAGCCAGAGTGACCAAGTCGATCATGCCAAAGTTTAAACATTTTATTCGACTTTGAATTGGTTGCAACATAAGCCTCGATTATATTAATGTGGGTGTAATATAAACCCGAGGATAAAGCAGGTAACCTTTCCAAAACACATTTATTTCCCGCAATATTTGAGGTAATGCAAAGATATTCGTCTCCCCCTTTATTCATTGTTTCAACATGGTATCCGTTTATTCGGATATCTTTAAAACTCAACAAGTTTCTTGTTGATTTTGGGGAGAATAATGCATCATTCAATGTGAATTTTTTACCTCCCATCATAAAAATATAGCCTTTCCAGACCCCTCAATTATCTTTGCACACCTGGATATTGTGTTCACTTTCGCTTTATTTGTTTCTAAGTGAACAAAATATTTTATGTCTTTGAGTATAGTGTGGGTAGTGGCACAATCTGCAAGACATAAATCTCTATTTTGGTTTCGGGACTGTTCCACGATCTAAAACAAAAAATAAAAAATATTATTGATCAATTTCGAAATAGATCATCAATTATTACAATCATATGTCACAAACCATTACAATCATGCTTAGAAATTTCATCAACACACAGAAAACAGATCGTCAATTATTCTTGATTATTTGCAGCTCCTTCTTTAAATGTTGCATCAGCAAAATCCATTCTCAGCATATCATCGATGTTATAGTCATCCTCTGCACGTATCGGTTCACTTCCGGAGGTTTCTCCCATCATAAAATTAGTTTCAACATTCTTCCCTTTTGATTTCTGGAAATCCTGGTAACTTTTAACCACGTGCCTTGGGGCTCGACAATTTCGAGCCCAATGCCCCATTCTACCACATCGATAACATGCTTTCTCATCATTATTTTTCATGAAATTTTTCTCCCCTTTATCATGTCCAGAATTTTGCTGAAAATTTCTCCCCCTTTCATAGTTTTGGGCATCATTTTGGCCATGTCCACGATTGTATCCTCGGCCTGAATTGTATCCTTGATAAAATTTCCAGCCTCGGCTATAACGGCGATCAGGACCATATCCATGACCACGTCCACAGCCAAGGCCACGACCCGAGTCATATCGGCGTCCATGAGTATGGTTGTTATCATTTCCGGTTCCCTGTCTAGAGATTACAACATTTATTTCAGGGACCGCAGTAGACCCCGTGGGTCTAGATTCATGATTTTTCATTAATAGCTCATTATTTTGTTCAGCCAGCAACAAACAAGAAATCAACTCAGAATATTTTTCAAAGCCTTTTGCTCGATATTGTTGTTGCAAAAGCACATTGGACGCATGGAACGTGGACAAAGTTTTTTCCAACATATCAATAGTCAGTTACCGTTTCCCCGCATAATTTTAGCATTGAGCAAATTCGAAAAACATTGCTGAATTATATTCGCTCACTTTTTTAAAATCCTGAAAACGTAATGACATCCATTCATAGCGAGCCCGGGGGAGAATAACTGTCTTTTGATGATCATACCTTTCTTTCAAAGCTTTCCAAACATCCGCTGGATCTTTTATAGTTAAATATTCATTTTTTAACCCCTCATTCATATGATGCCTTAGAAAAATTATGGCTTTCGCTTTTTCTTGTATGGATGAATCATTTGAGGAAATTATCGTTTTTCCCAATCCCATTGCGTCCAGATGAATTTCAGCATCTAGTGTCCATGAAATGTAATTTTTTCCAGTGATGTCAAGGGCCTCAAACTCAAGGTTCACCAAGTTTGACATGGTAGCTATAAAATACAACATCAATGCTTGATTTAAGAGAATTACAAAAACAATCATTCATTATTCAAACCGATAAAAACAGCTAATAAGAAACACATTAGAAAAAGACCTAATACAAAAAATATAAATTCGGCAGTATGATACAACATCGTAAAAATTCCTAAAGCGTATATAATAACCAATATAATGGTAATTATAAACAATAGATCAAACATTTTTTTTTTTTGAGGAGTATATATTGTAATATTTTGGAATGAGTGTTAATATATGAAGTGTAGTGTTATATATAGATTGATAAATAGACGTTGGAAAATAGCCGTTAAGTAGCCGTTTGGAATATATTATTGATATAATATTTGTTAATTATACCATTCATGAAAATTTAATTAATCATGCATATCAACTTAAAGATATTCCGGGTTACTAGGTAAACATTTTAGTGAATATAAGTAACAAAACAAATGAAAATGTCACTCCACGCTACTCGATAAATCTTTCGGTGGGTACAAGAATAAGCAGTTATAAATTTCACGCCACATTACTGGGTAAACCTTTTTTCGGGTGTGAAGTACAAGTAATAATATTATATATTTATAATTATATCATGAAGTCTTTTTTCTTAATCATTAGTAATCCATAAGTAAATTTGATAATATCATCTTACCACATATTATTGACTATGGCAGAGCCGTACTTGCCAATAATAATGGTAATATGTAAATTAGTATAATGTTATATTTAATATATTCATACCACATATTCTTGACTATGTCAAAGCCGTACTTGTCAAAAATAATGGTAATATGTAGATTAGTAAAATATACTGATTTTATGTAATGTATATACATATTAGTATATTCCTACCTTCATAATGAGTCTATGGACACGTAACGTGTATGAGGGGTTAATTGTATGCAACGTGTATAGTGACAGCGCACCTTTTTTAGGACAATACACAAATCGGGTTCGTGAGCAACAACTCCTTTTACACTAGATGGTGGCATCATCATGAAGGAAGCTATGTCAGCGATAAGGTCGGCACGAAAGAAACTCGATGTGATTGGCATGACAATGTGATCTTGGCCATGAGGAACAAGTGTCGATGTTGTTCTGGTGAGTGTGAAGGGCCTATCTAATGAAAGACGTGGAATGTCGATTTTATCTTCAATAAATTGGTTCTAAGCGCTAATGATGCTCCATGTCAGCACTATTGTGAGTTAGTTAAGATTCACAGATGGTATGCATAACAACAGTATTATTAAGTGATCGAGATTAGACATATATAATTATTTAAAATAAGATCTTAAATTATTCACATTTTTAGTATGTTTCTACTGTTCTATATACTTAGTTTATGAAGAACATGTGGATACAGGGAAAGGGGGAGCAAATCGACTAAAGCCATGATGGACGGCCCAATAAAGAATAAACAACCTAAAAAAGGAGGCAACCTACAGAAGACGACCTATAGGAGGATGGAGCTGAGTAGCACATCTCGTCTGAAGATCCTACTTACCAATACTCAGGGTGGTAATCTGGTGATTGCAACCTGTTGGCACTTGGAAACCTGAGTCGAGAAAGAGACTTAATGAGAATTAAGGAGAATCTAATAAGGATAAGAAGAAATCTAATGATGAAATCAAGATAAGACTAAACTCCGAGCAACCCAAATTGGTGATGGGCAAGCTGACCGAGGTAGCTTGGCAACCTAGTGAGCCAAATCTTAGACACCAAGGTATTCCCCTTTAAAAGGAAGTTGAGGTACATCTGCAACACTTGTTAGATATTTCTTGTTGAAATATACACGGGATACCTACGAACTGAAATATATTAGACAAATACAATATATATATATAACCGGAAATAAATTACAACTGTAAAACAAAATTAAAACAGAAAGATTTTAAGCCGAGGCGAGTAAAACTCTTTCCGCAGGAAAAATACGACCCGTGTGGCTGCTAACGGTTCAGGCGTAACTTCCCCAAAGATACAACGACAAACGTCTCTAAATCTATAGCACACCAGATTTACGAGCTCCAGCGAACTGGATTGGAGTAGAGAATTGAGCACATAAAAATAGTAATAAAATTATCCCTCTGATAATTTTTCTCTATTTTTATCACAAATATTTTTATCACTCAACCATTTTCTTGGACTGATTTCCCTTTCCTTTTCTTCCTCTTTCTCTCTTTTACTCTTTTTCTCCCCTTATTTTTCTCCTTTCTGCCGTGTTTTTGCTATCTGATTCTGCCCATATTTATAGATGGAAGAGTAGCAATTGGGTGTGAATTGGTTGGCAATTTGATACGGTAGTTGAAGAATTTTGCAAGTTGTCCACCAATTTTATTTCTACACGCATGGTAATCAAGTGGTTGGGTATTGGTTGAGAATATTTTATTACACTCAATTTTCTAACAACACTCTCTACATTTCCTATACATTTCATACTATTCGTTACTTATAAAGCGCTTTACCATTTTATTCACGTGTACTGACTTGAGCGTTGGAGTACTCACGCCAGGAACCTCCCTGACAATTGTTTTGCAAGTCATCAATCGCTCAGGAACGATCAGAGCTCTCTTTTATCCGTTTCAATCCAGATTTAGAGCTCTGACACATCAACAATGACCTTTTGCTTAGTAGAAAAATTTACAGTATTAAGATTTAAGTTTGATATTTTATTGAAGGGTTTATTGCACAAAATTCTCCTGTATAATACTAAATGTGCGCGTTTTCCCCTTGTAATTTAAAAGTTACATCAAACCCCCTTGTATTAAGCGTAGGCCAGCTGACGCTCCCCAACTTGTGTCCGAGTGCTAACACCGTTACATATTTGTCAAACTTCCCATTATGTCCTTGTCAATTGAGTTTGAGCACCAATTTTCTCTTCAGCTTTTCTCTTCTTCTCCAAAGGGTGAAAACCCTAATTTTCAAAAAAAAAAAAGACAAAAAAAAAAGAAAAAAATCCAGATCTCAGATTAAAGGAGCAAATATGTGGCATCTGCGTATGAGCTATATGGCTGAGGAGTTCTCCCAAAAATATGTGCCTCCATCCGCCGCCGCCACAAGAGTTCTCCCTCGATTTGTACGACGACAGAGCCTTTATTAGGGACGGCCTAGATCTCGCTGCCGATGCGTCGACGGTGGTGATGAACCTGAGGGAGCCCGGGGTCTCCTCGATCGAGACGTCGGCTATCAAGTTCACAAAAGAGGGTGGTATCTCCATAACTGCTTTTGTGGAAAAATCTCTAAGACATCCTCGGGCCCCGACTTTTTTCCTGTCCCAAGTGATAATCACTTTTATTTACGCATAGAGGTTTGTTTCCTTATTAATTTTTTTTGTATGCTTGTTATATTGATGTGCTTTTGTTGGAAAATTGATTTTTAAATCATTAGAAGTATCTAATAAACATGTTTGTAATAATGATGTAGGTAAAAGATACCGGCTTAGGAATTAACCCACAGGATATTCCCAAGCTGTTCATGAAATTCGTACAGTCTCCAGTACCTTCGCGAAGGAGCTCCGGCGGCTTCTCCCTGTTTCAGATACGACAGGCAAAAAAGTGAAAGAGAAGGCTCTTCTCTTGCCGCTGCTTCCTACGCCAACACTGAAAATTCCGTTGAAAATTTGTGGATGGAACTTGAGATTTTGTTTCAGATCTAGGGTTTCGAATTGAATTCAGGGATGGGACCTGACATCCCGACGATGCAATTGACGAGGGTGACGATGAACTCAGTGATGAGGGCTCGGTAGAAGAATCGGAGCTTGAGCTCCCAGACGTTGAGCAGCAACGCCAGAGGAGATACAATTTTAAATTTTTGTTCACTTTTTAGATTTTTTTTTTGGGATTTTTTTAGCAGAAGATGAATTAAGGTTATTTTGGAATTTTTGTTCTTTCTTTTTTCAATGGACAAAATAGTAATTTTAATTTGATGTAAAAAAAATGAATAATTGTTGCAATATGGACATGTGTACTGCACGCGCCGTCAAATTAGACGGAGAGGGGGGAATCGTGCTACTATTAATTGAATATAAAGGGTTTTGACGCAATTTTTGAAATAACAGAAAAAAATGCGCAGATTTCATATAATACAAGGGATATTGTATATTTTACCCTTTAATTGAATCGTGCTACAGTGGTATAAGAATGACATTGAATCATGCTACAGTGTAAGAATGGCATAAAATTTAATATAATAACACGATTCTATTACTCTACCCATCACGCAACTTTTAAAATCTAACGATATAGAACATACATCCCTTTTAATCATTAAACTGCTAAGTAATTGTGACAAATTAGCAATACCAATCACTCGCGTCAACTAAATAAAATTTGAAAAAGAAAAAAAATGATCAACTGTTGCGGTCATGAGCGTGATAAGCGCGTAGACCGGTGTGTCACGCCCACGTGATGTTCCTCTGCACCCTCACCCCACCCTTGCTTCATTCTCTCACAGATTTGCGGACATGGCTTCAATTCAAATATTTGGACCTTGTCGTAGATATGTTTTAGGTTGGACTTCGCCCACTCAAACTATTATCGTGTTTATTTATTTAATCACCATCTTTATTTTCTTCCAAATTCTCCCCAGCAGCCATTAAATATGAAAGTATTATTTATTTATTATTATTATTATTATCACATCAGATTTGGTCCGTATAACATAAAGTATTATTACTTAAGAGCATCTCTAATATAACATTTTCTATTTTTTATTGTATTACATAAAGAAAAAAAAATTAAAAAATTGCGTCTACAATGATTAATCATGATTGTTGTGTAATTTGAGATGTGTAAAATTGTAACTGTTTGAAGAACAAATATAAATTGAATAAGTAATATATAATAGCAGTTCTTTAGAATGATTTCAACGTCTTGAAATCATTTTAGATATTTTCTACAATATAAATTGAATAAGTAATATATAATAGCAGTTCTTTAGAATGATTTCAACGTCTTGAAATCATTTTAGATATTTTCTACAATACATATAATATGTGACTACAAAATAGAACAATCCATATACAGTTAGAAATGCATTAAAGTTTGACTACTTGCTTTGGTATGTTTTGATGATGATTGAAAATATTTCATTTTTTTTTTGGTTAATTAAGAATGATCTCATTAAGACCATAAATAATCTTTTTTGACGGAATATATGATTCATTTTGTTTTGAAATTTATATATTTTACTATAACAATTTAAAATAAAAATTTATTATTATTATTATTATTATTATTATTATTATTATTATTATTATTATTATTATTAATTTATTATTTTTCTGTCCCACCAGCTTCGCTATAAAAACTTTTTCTTCAAAATTTACTTATAATTTTGAAATTATTTCATTTTCTTATTTGTCTACATTCTCAATGAGATAAGATACTCCGAATAATTTATGTACCGGATATATAATGTTGGACAAATATAGTGAAATTTTGAAATTATTTCATTTTCTATATTTTCTTATTTGTCTATATTCTAGCCTTTCATGGTAAATTTAAGAATAGATTGAGCCTACATGACAAATTTTCACGCTTTGTGATCCTATTTGACAAAAAACCATGCTTTGGAGTTAGCTTGGATATGAATTAATTTTTTTATCACACTATATTCATGATTGATTTTTTCCTTCTTTACTTCTACAATTAGTAACCATAAATTATTTTATATTTCTTTTCCTTATATTACCATACATTACATTTTATTTTCTTATTTAATTCATTCACAGTTATTATAAATGTTTCTTTTTCTTATTTTAAGATTTTATAACTTGTTTGTTTGTATTTTATTTTTTATATATGCTATATCAAATTAACCATCTTTTAACGATTTTCGATTTGACATTCATATTATATATATATATATAATACAAAATAGTAATATTTATTCTTAGAAATAAAATTTAATTTTATTTATCAAACTAAATTAAAAGATATCAAATAAAATTATTAATTATATTATAAAGTAATAGAAATTAGTATGTATTCTTTTAAAAATGATATTTATTTCAAATCTAATTGGTATGTTATTATCAATCTAATAAAAATAAATAATTATTTATCTAAATTTTAAAATTACATATAAAGTTAGAAAAATGTGAAGCACAAGGGATACTACACTGGATGTATTAGACATCTAATTAAGTAAAAAATTAATCTATTTTGCTTAATATTAAACAAACATATTTATGCACTTATGCATATACATATTACCATATTATTTCTATTTATTTAAGATATATATTTTTTTTACTTAATAGTAGTAAATAATATCGATATTTTTTTATGATATAAGTAAAAAATTCAATGAGTTGACATTTTCATTTAATATACAGGTGTTTAATTATTATGACTAAAAAATATAGTTTGACAATTTAATTAAAATCCAAAATAATATTTTATATAAAATTAAATCATTTTATTTTAAAAAAATAATATTTTTTACATATGCTTCTTAATTCAACACCCGTGTATTTACACGGTATTGTACTAGTTATATATAATTCCCGAGTGTGCTGAGCTTAAGTGCAAATTCGTATGCTTCAGGATCCTATGTGACAAAATTCAATGTTTTATTAATTAGTTGGATAAATTTTAATTTAATTCTAGTCTAAAAATAATTAAGTTTGAATTATTCATAAATATGTTGATTATTTATGGGTATGTTACATGTATTAATTGCATTTCAATATCATTTCTTATTAGAAGTCAATAACTTTTGTATTTTTTTTATCAATTTTACATATATAATATATCAAATTAATCATATCTTGAAAGAGTTTCGATTTGATGTATGTATAAAGTGGTGCCAATATTAATTAAAAAAATAAATTCTTTACCAATTAATAAATTTTCGTAGGGCCTACAAACTTGAATGTTCAAATGTCGAGATCCTGCACATCGATAATCATTAGAACTTAAGTCTTAAACTCAATGCATACATAAAGTATTTTATAAAGATTATGCCCTGCACAATTCATATCATTACATTAGACACGAGATTAATTAGAACATTTCAATATACGAATATAGATGAACACGAGTATGCATAAACACGATAATAATAAACTTTAGAGAACAATATTGTGTGCATAGAATCAAAGACAAAAAGTAAGAAGTTGATTTTCTACACTCTGTAGAATTTTAATTGCAAACAAAGGCCAACGACAACCAATAATTGTGATGTGGACAAAAAGAAGTGCTATAATCAGGAGGCGATTTTGATGGATGCTAGGGTTTTTCTAGCTTGACAACCTATGAATGTTCCTTTCACATTTCCTAGCGATTATTGTTTAATTCAAAATGTTATGATCAATCATATTATGGTCAACTCTACTTTATATCTTACACGAAGCATCTCACTCAGCCTTTCTTGGAGTCTTGCGCTTCAATTAGGATTCACAATGTAATAAAGGGTCTTTCTCGAATTATTATTACATTAAAAGTTAATATATTATTATACAAGTTCAAGAAATAAATATTATTGCATATAATACATAATTGAACCCGTATATACAGTGAGCGATGAGTTCAGTAAAGAACGCTCGTTGATCGTGTTTTGAATTGATTGAGAATTTAAAACTTTGTT